TGGCATATTATGATAGACTGGATACATATAATAAAAAAATTATGCTTATCCTAAATATTCTATTTCTTTCGAAATAAACCAAATATTTACCTTAAATAAAATATTAAATTATTCATGGAGATTTTACTAAAATATCAAATATTAAATATCATTATATGCATTTGAATTTGATAATTATATCATCAGTTTTTAGGACATGCTTTGTTTTTAATTTGAATAAGCCTACAATTCTAACAGAAATAAAAAGAGCCAAGTAAACAACAAAATCAATTGCACATCACTAATTGTTTTTTATTTAGATTATATTATAGATGTTTAAATTATTAACTGCAAGAAAATAAGATAACAATTCTAGATGATATTTTTATCTTAACAAATTCATCTAACAAAGTCATTTATATATCATCCAGAGTAGTTTAATTATACTATATCACATGAAATCTGGCTAGATTTGTAAAAAATAGAATATCTTGAGTTGCTATTTTTGACATGCCCCAAGACGAGATATTAGAACGTAGGATTTCATGTTTTTGTTCAATTAAAGAAATAACTAGACTTCATTTGTGTCGGCAGAAAGAAAAGAAAAGAGCAATAGAAAATAATCCATCTTTGGAAATGAGAAATATCACCTTAGCTTTTCTGAAGACGTTGCGATGACATGTACAGCCTTTGTTGTGCTGTTTATGGACACATCTCAAAACGTGGTTTGTTCTACCTAAAATCGGCCATGGAGGTGTGGTTTTTTGAGCACATCCACCTAAATGTTGGCAAATTTGTCTTATCAGTCTTCATTCGGTCCGAGCTTTTTCAGTCTATGTCTGAAAGAGCCCCTCATTCCGAATTGGACACATCCCGTTCAAGTGAAAAGAGTGAATTTTACTTAAAGTGCTGTATGGATGTTCTCGGCAGCTCAGCTGCTTTTGAGGACCTTGTGCACAACTGACCCCAGAACTGTGTTCATATCTATAATTGTAGATGGCACAGGGATTGTGTAATGAAACTGATTCCGCACTAATTGGCCTTTCATTCCCCTCTTTGTTGCACTGTTGCTAAATTTATCGTGCTCGCTGCTATTGCACGCTTGACCATGCACGTGGTTGCGAAATAGAATGCTCGGCTTAGAATGGAATCCAGGGAGCAGTTTAAGAACCTAATCATTTTCGAGAGGCTCAACAAATGATAAGAATCCATTGTATCATCGGCAGTCATAAAATTGTCAGCAAAGCGATCATAACAGTTGAGTATACATGTCAATTGAGGAGCCCCACAATCAAACGTACCGATCTTAAGTTTATTTGGTATATTTCACTGCCAAAAGCAATTGATTTTCCATCACAGCAGAGAGCAGTTCAAAAATGTACTTCCCCATTATCAAGATGAGCTCCTGACAAGCTAGGGGTGCCGGGACCAGGTGCCCAGTCTTCAGTTATGATGAATGATTCAATTTCGATCAACTCTACAGGTAAGGCTTTTGATGATCGCCGTTTAAATCTTGCCCGTCTAATAATACCAACAGTCGGTAACAATTTTGAGCATACAAATGGTTATTGCTCACCTGATAATGAAGAGATCTCCTTGTTTGATCCACAACAGCAGCATTGTCCTTAGGCTTTGGGTACACTTCTCTTGTTCTTGCGCTCTTAAAGGATCTCTTCAAGTGAAGGATTGAGAGGAATCATAATAAGGTACGGGTAGTTTCGGTGGCACTTGATTTGTGTTTGTGCGGTATTTTTCGTATAATGTTTCTTGTGAGGATCGCTAAGACAAGACTGCTCGGAGTTGCAGGAATCTTGTGAAATTTGAAAGACGGGAGGAGGTTAGAAATAGGTTACTCCAGTTGCCGCTTCCAGCACTCTGCGTTGGCTGCTTTTAGGTGTGGCATATCTGTGTCAGTCCATGCTTGTCATGAATAGCGCTGTCAGAGGCGGAATTGTTTGGTTTCCATAGTCCGCTGCTTTTAGGAAGAAAACCATAAAGTGGATTCATATCTCGACTTGAATACCTTCGCCGTGTCAAGGCATCAGGAGGATTGAAGAGGTGATTTCGAAAAAGACAGAAAGACGGAGACATGTGATTAGTACGATTACATTTCTGCAGAAGGTTGTGCATGAGCTGACATTGTGCCAAGGCAGCGATTGTGAGAGCTAGAATGCTCCTTGTCAATCGTAATCGCAGCCAAATATCGACCTGTGAGAAACCGGAAGAGCTCCGCGGTGACGAACAATGCCACCACGAACTCACACGCCTTCTCCATTCGACCAAACCACATTTTTGGAAGCCCGGGAGTGCACCAATTTAAGCATAATATGAAGCATCCCGCGCCAGTGGCGACTGGTACCCAGTTGTACTAGCTGAAATTACCAGGAAATGTTTCATCGAGCCTGACTCAGATGCATTCATCAATTCAGTGAACGCCTATTGTTTGGCAAAGCAGCAGAGCTTAAGGTTCAAGGACAAGAATTTTTTTGAGGATGATAACATTGAGGTTCGGCTCCGGCTCCGCCTCCTGCCCATTACACTCGTACCTGCGGATTCAAGCTTTGCTGGTCCATGAGGGGATCACAGTCGAAGCATCACTTTAAAGGCAAGCTGAAGCATTGTGCGCTGCATCTGTCCAGGCATTACCAGTTCAATAAGGACACTTGTATGGAAGGAAGGATCGACTTCTCTCGTTAGGTTGATCAGCCTTGCACCATGGGGAATGCAGTGCCCATTTGGTGAGCGATAAAAGTAAACGATGCATTAAGGAGAGTGAGACACGCATATCGCGGCCAGAATAACATTACAGAAATTAGGCACTAGCCGAAGCTTCCAAGAACTTCGCGAACTAGAAGAGCTGGACTTCCTTCAACTCAAAACTCGTGGACAACGCACCTAAATATCAAGGTCATTCTCCTAAAACTCCAAATAAACAAACTCTGGATAAGTATGAGCAGCAACCCACATGCAGTCAATCGCATAACCTACTGTACTTCCAGCAAAACAAAGAAAACACACTCGAGCAGTGTATCACAAAACTCGACATTCCGGAAACGACCCGGGATCGGGAACCATGCAGAACTAAAACAATAACTAGGTGCTACAAAATATAAATACTAAAAGAATGACGAATCAGTAAAAAAACAACTTGGTCTCCGTCACTTTCGAAATCGAATAAATAATGACCAGGTTTCATGACGCAAAAATGTACATTGTCACATAATACAAAATCAAAATTCCAACTAAGCTCAAGCAAAAATAGAACAGCAATCAAATCCAAGATCACCGCCAAAAAAATTACGCAACAAAACCAACTCAAACATCCTAAATATGACGTCCACACGAAATGCATATTAATCCTGCACAAAGACCAGGAACACAATAGCAACACCTACACAAAACTACAACACAAATTCTCACCAGTCCCCAGGATCGCAACCATGACCTCCAAGCAAAATCGTCTCTCCGCTAAAACTTTGGAAAGCCAAACGACAGTGTTCCGCCCCGGTCAGTAAACTTGAATAACCCAATCTCTTCTCCATCAAGTAGGCACCGGTGGATCCTTGGGCCTGGCCCACCCCCCACACCCACCTGCACCAAGCTCCTCAGGGCTCTCGCTTCTCCGCCCCCACACGGCGTGGCGTTGCCACTCAACCCCGCTTCTGCAGGCTTCGCTTCCTGCTCTCCTCCACCACAATTTGGCCCTGCCGCTTCGTGCCTTCTGATTCTGGAACCACGACTGTTTCGTTTAGACTCCCCACCCCGTTTTCTTGCAACCGATCGCATCCTGAAACTATCCTTCTGCTAAAGAGGGGTTCTCGGACCCTGGAGCTGGCCCCGCTGCGCTCCACTCGATCAATCGCCCACATCGCCCGACCCATGCATGACGTTGCGGCGGTCGAGCCGCGCCCTCCCGATATGAGCTCCCGCACTCTCTCCGTCCTACTCTTTCTCGTTTCTTTGTGAAGCTTTCTGTGATGTCCACTCACCGGATCGCGGCTCCTCTGAGAAACTCGTGGAGATGGAAGCTGAGTGTGTAACACGAGAGGTGACCTCTGAGACTCCCGAAGGACCCGCGATACACGACCACGTGCGCGGGTACCTTCGTTAGCAAGGGTGCAATTGCAATCCGCTCGAAGATGACATCCACCTCAGATGAGCAGGCTACCCAGGTGCCACCGACTGCGGCACAGCTTCCAGTGCTTGTGCAGGAAGACGGGAGCTCATTTGAGTCCGGCATCATGCTGGTACAGCCGACTCCGACTTCCGGCCACCGTGAAGATGGCGTCGCTCAGGTTGTAGACCCCGGGTAGTGGTAGCCCCATCGCTGAGCCCTCCAGCCCACGCGCGAGCAGTGAGGATCTCGCAAGGGATTGAGCGGGAGTGAGGAGCTGGTATGGACACCGCTTCTGCGCATCACGTCCCAAAAGCGAGTTAGAGGCAACCGCTGTGCACCAGCAAGGGCTTCTTTCTCACGGCGCTGCTGCAGTTTAGCTCCGGATGATCAATATGGTCATTGTTGCCCAGAACTACGGCGAGGGGCTTCTTTCCAGCCACACCACATTGACTTGCGGGGAGAAAAGCGCAGGCAGACAGAGAAAGCATTGGCCTCCCTGGTGGTCCGCAGGAGACAAGCCCCGACTCACGACGTCGTTCGTGTCTTTCATCCATTCATCCATCCATCCATCATAACATCATTCATCCATTCGCCGAGGTAGTACCGACGGAGAGAACCCAGGGAGAGGGAAGACACTCCGTAGGCTCGACGACCGTCTCCCGCGTGTTTCAGTTCACGCTCTGGAGTCTGGCTATGGCGTGTCTCGCACCCGTCTTCCATGTTCCCAAGCCTTGTCCTCCTGCGCTGCGACATCGGCCCGGAGCCTGATCTGTTCCTGTCGTGCTCCTACATGGTCTCGGATTCTAGCTTTTTCTGTTCGACTTTGTGAGCCTAGAATCGGATTACGCAGTGTGTTTGTGTGGGAGAACGGGACTGGGTGCAGAGACCTAGTCTGCGGTGGAGTATGCGAGTGGAGGGTGCAAACAGGGTCGGAGTGGCGGAGGTATGGCGGTTCGCGGGGCGAGCAGGTGTTAGGGCTCTTTCGCAGGTGGGGGTGGCATGTTGCCAGGGGCGTTGCGGGTAGGGCAGGCGAGTTAGGGAAGAAGTGCTGGGCTTGGACGTTGGGGTGGTGGTATCGTCTTGGGTGGATTTTCGTGGCGGGCGTTTGGAGTAGTGAAGACGGAGGCGGGGTTGTAGGTCGCTGTGGCTCTGAGATGTGTGGGAGATGTGGACGTGTCGCTGCGGGAGGTGGGAAGGTGAGGTCTCGGCGCGGGCTCGGTGCTGGTGCATGCGGAGGGATGCTTGGAGGCCGGGGATGGTGGTGTTCTATGGCATGGCTTGCTTGGATGAGTTAGAAACTGCTAGTAGAAGATCAGGTACAGTGACGTTGCGATGAGAATAGGTCACGGAGTGATCTAGGTTTTCGTGGAATCACGGGGTTGATGGTACATTGGCATTGGGCGCTATGGGGCGAGGATCGGGCATATGAATCTTGGAGGAATTAGGTCCCTCGACGGGGGTGTTTGTGTGTGTGTTTTTTTTTTTTTTTTTTTTTTTTTTTTTCCCTCTCCTTTCTTGCTTCCGGTTTGTTGATGACCGAATAGCTTGGTTATTTGGTAGACAAGGATTAGCCCGGCGAGGTGAGGTGAGTAGCTGATCCATCTAGATTTGCGAAGTCGAGAGGGTGCGGGTCCCTTATGACCCCTTTCATTGGTTGGTGCTCGTGCTGGCAACCGGGTTGGAGTGTAAGTTTAGAGGGTTGCATCAGGAGTACGAGGTATTGCTACGAAGCGGGCGGGTCTCCGTGTCTCTCATAATGAATGAGGCCAGGAATCGGAAGGAGAGAACGGAGAGGCAACGTCCCCTAGGCGACATTAACAGACGCGCCATGGCGAGGCCGCCATTGTCTCCGGCGGTGGAGATCCCCGTGAAGCGGCCCTCAAGGGCTTGTTCTTCGCGACGACGGCTCTCGAACTCGTCGGATGGCGGGGGTTTTGTTTCGTCGCCCACCCCTCCCCTGCCGAGAACGTCGTCGAAGGTGTCGAATGAGAGAAGCTTTTCGGCTGAACTGCCTCCTTCCCGAGCGAGTGCGAGCCGGACGGGCGTGAGGGCGGTATCGCTTGCATTGGATTCGACAATGTCTCCAGAGCGGATGGAGCTTCGGGGGCTGTGGGAGATGGCCGCCGTGATGAACTTTTTCTGCGTATTTCGGCCCATTATCAATAACTTGCCGGAGTTCACAATGGACGAGCTGGAGTCCGCGATGCTGTTTCCGAATTCGACATTAGACACGATTCACGTGGTGATGTTGAAGGGGGTCCCACCTGCAGCCAGAGTTCCTCTTCGAGGCGATACGTGGCCGACCGTTCTGAGCAAGAAGTTCAAGGATTGGTGGTGGAGGGTAGCCGAAGGTCCGTGTCCTCTGTTACCGTGCCAAGGAGCGGAGCTGGCGACCTACATGGATTTGGACCCTCCGACTCGCGTGAGAGTGCTGCTGGCGCTGTGCGAGATGCGCGTGGAGCAAGAGGATGCTCGTTTCTACATTGATGACTCAGTGAAACGGAGCCAAATGGCGGAGGTGCGGAAGGAGCGGGCTGGTTGCGGGGCGGAAGGAACGACATTTTGGCTGGAGGAGGATGAGATGCTGGGGCAGAGACTGTACAGGGAGGGACAGGCGATAATGCCGCAGCCACCGTCGAAGAATAAGGCCAGGGGTTGGGGCAGGGGCAGAAACGTGCCACCTCCAGATCCAGGGAGCTGGGAGACTTGCGCGACGAATTTCGAGGAGTTCCAGGAAGTATCGAGTCGGCTGTTGGAGAGTCGGAATCGATTGGAAGCGGCGATGGGAAAGAAGCTGATGCAGAGTCTGATGCCCCAATTGGAAGAGATTCAAAAGAAGAAGGACCGGCTGGTGAAGAAGCAGCAGCGGGAGGCGGTGCTTCTGGACAACATGTTGGCAGGGAATGGGCTTGCAGCAGGAAGGTCACGCAGGGAGCGGAAACCGGTGACGTATACGTTCGATGAATTCGATCGTTCTATCAACGAGGCGATCAAGTTCACAAAGAAGGGCGTGTCCGACACTTCGTTGAGGCGGGAAAGCCTGCGATTTGGCAATGGCGTGAACGTGGCGGGCCATTTTGGGAAGGAGCGGAATGGTAATGCCGCATATGGTCATGGCGGGTATGCTAACGGGGTTGGTGCGGTTAGACGATCGTCACGCAATGCGCAGTCACATCCCGGAGTAGAGTTTGGGGCGGAGGATGAGGGCGGGGTTGCAGGTTCGGAACCGCATCTGGTGGAGGCTGACCTGGGGTTTAGCGACGATGAGATAGAAGGAGAGGTCGTGTATCACGACGATTACCTGGCTGCCAGGCAACACAAAGAGAGGAGCTATTCCTCGGAGAGAGGCGAGAGCTTGAGAGGACATGACCAGGATGATGTCGATTTTGATGAGGTTGGAGAGAAAGATGGCGAGGAAAGTGAGGATTACGGAGGTGGTAGCGGTAGCGGAGGCGATAGCGATGGGAACGAGGAGCGCGTGAAGAAACGGCAAAGGCGAGGTCCGAAGGTGAGGCTAGTGAACGACCTTTCTCGAGAAGGTGCATACCGAAACGCCAGACCTGTTCCTGATCGGGATGGAGGTGGGGGTCGGGGTAGCGAGGAAGAGGCTAGTGATTCAGACGAGCGGATCGTGAGAGACACGCAACAGCGGCTACGGGTGGGCGAAGGAGCGAGAACGGGGAGCGATGGTCGAGGCGTAGGTGGTACCCTCACGGAGAGAGGTGACGCAGGGTTTGAGGAGGCAAGCGAGGCAAGTGGCAGTGGGTGCAGTTCCCAAATGCGGAATGGTAAAGGTGGGGACATGTTCCAAGAAGAGAGGAAGAGGGGCCACGCATCTTCGATGGGTGACGACGCTCAGTCCGTAGGGCACTCCAGGGAACAGTCGGCAGAATATTCAGCACGATCGGGGTCCGGGGAGGATCAGCAAGAAGCAGGGTCTGTAGATTTCGACGAGGAGGAAGGCATGGGCCAGGAAGTGGAGAGCAGTAAAGGTACGGGGAGACGAAGGCAGCTGCTCGATTTGAACGAGGTTGCCACGGCGGCCCGCGGAAGCAGTCCTGTGTCGGACAATGGGGAGAGTGAACATTCGGACGACGAAGGGGAAGACGGGCATGGTGACGAGGCAGGTTGAAAGTGGGTGTGGAGTGTAGAGGAGTGATAACATTGAAATGGTGACGCAAATTGAGCTTCGTTTGTAGGTATGGTGTACATTAATCTGAAGGCGGCAGAAACATTGACTTGGGTTCTTGAGAGCACGTAGAGTAGCCCAATACTTTAGAAACCTGGACTTTTGAGCGGAGCGGGTTCTTAGAGGCATAGGCGTGGAGTGAAAGGAGCTCCAGGCGATAGACGCGGTGGTTGCCTCTTCCTGAGACCTTTTCGGACGGTTGGTTTCCAGATGCATAGATGTTTGTGTTCTGGAACGCCGTTGACAGCACTCGGCACTAAGGTGCTCCTGCCTATTGGGAAAAGGGGGCTTTGTGCATGTCCATCCTGAGCTATGAAGTAAAACAGACCTTCTATGAGCAGGAGGAGCTGAATGATGTGTGCAGTATATTCTGCACACGGCTGTATCTTTCAGTTGTACTGATGGTGAGGAAGGTGTGGTGTTGTCAGCAAGTGATGATCGGTTCAAATGTATGCGTGTGTGCCATCGAGTTGGGGTCAATTCACTGTTGTTCAGAGACGAAGACACCGCTTCACCAAGGTCCTTTGGATAGATGTAGAGGTTGATGTCTGGTTTGGGGACAGACGATGAATTGGGCAAAGTAATTGTGCTTTGTTCTTCTAAGTTTGCATGATTCATATGCTACTGATTGAAGGTTCTTACTAAAGTGTTATTGAAGGATTGTTCCAATTACCTTGTTACTTTTATATTTAAGAAATTTTGATTTTTTTAACAAGCCCCAATCCTAATCATTGAGCTTTGATAAGGTGTAACATCTAATTTGACCTTTTACTTAATGTGAAATTTGGCATGCAATTGTCAATGTTAGTCTTTTGTACTCTCAATAATTGTGAGCCTAATCCTTCTTATAGATTGTGAGAAAACTTCTAAACATTGCACTAATGTCATTTGGTCACCAACTTGAAAAGTGAACGAAAAATCCTAGCAGTGATTTTGGTGTAAGCATCCTTCTCTAATAGACTTGTCAATGAAGTAGCATTGTGTACAAATTGCCAAAAAAAAATGGTGATAATATCAAACAAGGACTAAAAATGAGCAAACTTAAGAAGCATCTTTGAGAGTTGGCAAATCCTCCATTGCTTTTACCTTATCCTATTCCATGTGCATATTTTTAGAAGACATGTCTCAAAAAAGTGATTGTTGACTTCCAAAGTTGATCAAGAAGATCATCCACGTGTGGAAGTGGATATGCGTTCTTAACAGTCTACTTATTGAGAACTCAATAGACAATATAAAATCAAAGTCCATCATCTTTCTTAGGTGCAAAGAGTGAAAGTACTCTTCATGGTGATGTCCTTTCTTTAATGAAGTCTTTCTCCAAAAATTTATTCAATGTCTTTTCCAACTCTTCAAGTTACAAAAATCTCATGTAATTCATGTCAATACTTATTCTAAATCAATTATTCTAATTCTATGCCATTAAGCTCATGAGATCAAACATTGTGAATCAAGACAATAAATGCTTCACATTAAGTTGGGCTAGTTGTTGCTAGGTAATGGAGATAGTAGACACCTATGATAGTTATCTTTTCAAAGTGAGCCAAAAGTCAAAAGAAGTCAATCTATCTTTTTTTTTCAACAATACTTGAATGCCTTTTGTAGTCAATCTCACATGACTTTGGCCACTAGAACTTTTTTGCAAGACTTGTCTTGTGCTCAAACACTTGTATTGTTCTTTTTGCTAATCAATTCCTTTATTATTTTCAATTGAATTTTTTACTCAATGCATGTATTGATACAAATAAAAAAAGGTCTTAGTCAATTATTTTCTTTGTTGCTCATAAATCTTATGTTGGTAAAGGTATAAGATTTATTCCTTGCTTTGAAATGCTAGAGGATTTTTTATAAAAAAAATTATTTTAGTTACATTAGATTGTTTTTTTGGGCTTGATTCAAAGGAAATTCATAGTAAGGCAATTAGTTATAGATGGATGAGTTGATCTAATTATTTAGGTTTATTTATTGTTTAAAATTTTAATTGGCAATCATGTTGCATGTTTTTTCAAAGTCCTATAACAATATGCTTCAAATAATTGTTTTTGTCTCAAGAATTTTGCATTTTGAAAAATGAACTCTTGTTTCTTAATGTAGGTAAGAAACACATAATTTTTGGTTGCATTACTTTCTTAAATGCTAGAATGCAAGCTTTAGAGTTGGAATTTCTTACCTTATCCTTCAATAAATAGACATTGGAGAAAAGTTATTACTCACAAATTGGAAATTTGTAATTGCAATGATATTGTTCTAAATTAATTTCAATAGCCACCTTCCATGCTCACAAGACCACAACTTGCAATAAAAAAACTTCCTTCCAACACGCATCACACACACAAGAGTGCACAACCACCACGAGAGTGAAAGAGAGATTTGGTATCTTGGTTATTACTCATTAGTACAAGTCTTGAGACAAGATGCACAAATCCATTTCTTCAATATTTTTATACAAATCATTTTGTGCACTAGAATTATCCACAAAACAAGCAACCGCACAACGTTTAGAGTAATAGATATTCATCTGCCTTGTCCCAAGAAGAAACCCACTCCCCCATATCCTCCTTTCAAAGCTGGCTGCAACTTAGGTGAATCTACAAGGCAATGATGTCATACAAGTCGTTGTATGACATCATCGCCTCGAGCTTCTATCACTTTTACAGAACGAATACAAAAGGAACCGCAGCTAAAACCACATTGGCCACAGTGAAGGGGACGTAGTAAAACAAGAACAAACAGAACGACCCAAGATTATGAAGACACGAAGCGAACACCACACGAACAACCTGCATCAAACCCCGACACCGCATGAACCTTGGCGGTCTGCCAGCCGAACTATTAATCGTCTGTCCCCAAACCAGACATCAACCTCTACATCTATCCAAAGGACCTTGGTGAAGCGGTGTCTTCGTCTCTGAACAACAGTGAATTGACCCCAACTCGATGGCACACACGCATACATTTGAACCGATCATCACTTGCTGACAACACCACACCTTCCTCACCATCAGTACAACTGAAAGATACAGCCGTGTGCAGAATATACTGCACACATCATTCAGCTCCTCCTGCTCATAGAAGGTCTGTTTTACTTCATAGCTCAGGATGGACATGCACAAAGCCCCCTTTTCCCAATAGGCAGGAGCACCTTAGTGCCGAGTGCTGTCAACGGCGTTCCAGAACACAAACATCTATGCATCTGGAAACCAACCGTCCGAAAAGGTCTCAGGAAGAGGCAACCACCGCGTCTATCGCCTGGAGCTCCTTTCACTCCACGCCTATGCCTCTAAGAACCCGCTCCGCTCAAAAGTCCAGGTTTCTAAAGTATTGGGCTACTCTACGTGCTCTCAAGAACCCAAGTCAATGTTTCTGCCGCCTTCAGATTAATGTACACCATACCTACAAACGAAGCTCAATTTGCGTCACCATTTCAATGTTATCACTCCTCTACACTCCACACCCACTTTCAACCTGCCTCGTCACCATGCCCGTCTTCCCCTTCGTCGTCCGAATGTTCACTCTCCCCATTGTCCGACACAGGACTGCTTCCGCGGGCCGCCGTGGCAACCTCGTTCAAATCGAGCAGCTGCCTTCGTCTCCCCGTACCTTTACTGCTCTCCACTTCCTGGCCCATGCCTTCCTCCTCGTCGAAATCTACAGACCCTGCTTCTTGCTGATCCTCCCCGGACCCCGATCGTGCTGAATATTCTGCCGACTGTTCCCTGGAGTGCCCTACGGACTGAGCGTCGTCACCCATCGAAGATGCGTGGCCCCTCTTCCTCTCTTCTTGGAACATGTCCCCACCTTTACCATTCCGCATTTGGGAACTGCACCCACTGCCACTTGCCTCGCTTGCCTCCTCAAACCCTGCGTCACCTCTCTCCGTGAGGGTACCACCTACGCCTCGACCATCGCTCCCCGTTCTCGCTCCTTCGCCCACCCGTAGCCGCTGTTGCGTGTCTCTCACGATCCGCTCGTCTGAATCACTAGCCTCTTCCTCGCTACCCCGACCCCCACCTCCATCCCGATCAGGAACAGGTCTGGCGTTTCGGTATGCACCTTCTCGAGAAAGGTCGTTCACTAGCCTCACCTTCGGACCTCGCCTTTGCCGTTTCTTCACGCGCTCCTCGTTCCCATCGCTATCGCCTCCGCTACCGCTACCACCTCCGTAATCCTCACTTTCCTCGCCATCTTTCTCTCCAACCTCATCAAAATCGACATCATCCTGGTCATGTCCTCTCAAGCTCTCGCCTCTCTCCGAGGAATAGCTCCTCTCTTTGTGTTGCCTGGCAGCCAGGTAATCGTCGTGATACACGACCTCTCCTTCTATCTCATCGTCGCTAAACCCCAGGTCAGCCTCCACCAGATGCGGTTCCGAACCTGCAACCCCGCCCTCATCCTCCGCCCCAAACTCTACTCCGGGATGTGACTGCGCATTGCGTGACGATCGTCTAACCGCACCAACCCCGTTAGCATACCCGCCATGACCATATGCGGCATTACCATTCCGCTCCTTCCCAAAATGGCCCGCCACGTTCACGCCATTGCCAAATCGCAGGCTTTCCCGCCTCAACGAAGTGTCGGACACGCCCTTCTTTGTGAACTTGATCGCCTCGTTGATAGAACGATCGAATTCATCGAACGTATACGTCACCGGTTTCCGCTCCCTGCGTGACCTTCCTGCTGCAAGCCCATTCCCTGCCAACATGTTGTCCAGAAGCACCGCCTCCCGCTGCTGCTTCTTCACCAGCCGGTCCTTCTTCTTTTGAATCTCTTCCAATTGGGGCATCAGACTCTGCATCAGCTTCTTTCCCATCGCCGCTTCCAATCGATTCCGACTCTCCAACAGCCGACTCGATACTTCCTGGAACTCCTCGAAATTCGTCGCGCAAGTCTCCCAGCTCCCTGGATCTGGAGGTGGCACGTTTCTGCCCCTGCCCCAACCCCTGGCCTTATTCTTCGACGGTGGCTGCGGCATTATCGCCTGTCCCTCCCTGTACAGTCTCTGCCCCAGCATCTCATCCTCCTCCAGCCAAAATGTCGTTCCTTCCGCCCCGCAACCAGCCCGCTCCTTCCGCACCTCCGCCATTTGGCTCCGTTTCACTGAGTCATCAATGTAGAAACGAGCATCCTCTTGCTCCACGCGCATCTCGCACAGCGCCAGCAGCACTCTCACGCGAGTCGGAGGGTCCAAATCCATGTAGGTCGCCAGCTCCGCTCCTTGGCACGGTAACAGAGGACACGGACCTTCGGCTACCCTCCACCACCAATCCTTGAACTTCTTGCTCAGAACGGTCGGCCACGTATCGCCTCGAAGAGGAACTCTGGCTGCAGGTGGGACCCCCTTCAACATCACCACGTGAATCGTGTCTAATGTCGAATTCGGAAACAGCATCGCGGACTCCAGCTCGTCCATTGTGAACTCCGGCAAGTTATTGATAATGGGCCGAAATACGCAGAAAAAGTTCATCACGGCGGCCATCTCCCACAGCCCCCGAAGCTCCATCCGCTCTGGAGACATTGTCGAATCCAATGCAAGCGATACCGCCCTCACGCCCGTCCGGCTCGCACTCGCTCGGGAAGGAGGCAGTTCAGCCGAAAAGCTTCTCTCATTCGACACCTTCGACGACGTTCTCGGCAGGGGAGGGGTGGGCGACGAAACAAAACCCCCGCCATCCGACGAGTTCGAGAGCCGTCGTCGCGAAGAACAAGCCCTTGAGGGCCGCTTCACGGGGATCTCCACCGCCGGAGACAATGGCGGCCTCGCCATGGCGCGTCTGTTAATGTCGCCTAGGGGACGTTGCCTCTCCGTTCTCTCCTTCCGATTCCTGGCCTCATTCATTATGAGAGACACGGAGACCCGCCCGCTTCGTAGCAATACCTCGTACTCCTGATGCAACCCTCTAAACTTACACTCCAACCCGGTTGCCAGCACGAGCACCAACCAATGAAAGGGGTCATAAGGGACCCGCACCCTCTCGACTTCGCAAATCTAGATGGATCAGCTACTCACCTCACCTCGCCGGGCTAATCCTTGTCTACCAAATAACCAAGCTATTCGGTCATCAACAAACCGGAAGCAAGAAAGGAGAGGGAAAAAAAAAAAAAAAAAAAAAAAAAAAAACACACACACAAACACCCCCGTCGAGGGACCTAATTCCTCCAAGATTCATATGCCCGATCCTCGCCCCATAGCGCCCAATGCCAATGTACCATCAACCCCGTGATTCCACGAAAACCTAGATCACTCCGTGACCTATTCTCATCGCAACGTCACTGTACCTGATCTTCTACTAGCAGTTTCTAACTCATCCAAGCAAGCCATGCCATAGAACACCACCATCCCCGGCCTCCAAGCATCCCTCCGCATGCACCAGCACCGAGCCCGCGCCGAGACCTCACCTTCCCACCTCCCGCAGCGACACGTCCACATCTCCCACACATCTCAGAGCCACAGCGACCTACAACCCCGCCTCCGTCTTCACTACTCCAAACGCCCGCCACGAAAATCCACCCAAGACGATACCACCACCCCAACGTCCAAGCCCAGCACTTCTTCCCTAACTCGCCTGCCCTACCCGCAACGCCCCTGGCAACATGCCACCCCCACCTGCGAAAGAGCCCTAACACCTGCTCGCCCCGCGAACCGCCATACCTCCGCCACTCCGACCCTGTTTGCACCCTCCACTCGCATACTCCACCGCAGACTAGGTCTCTGCACCCAGTCCCGTTCTCCCACACAAACACACTGCGTAATCCGATTCTAGGCTCACAAAGTCGAACAGAAAAAGCTAGAATCCGAGACCATGTAGGAGCACGACAGGAACAGATCAGGCTCCGGGCCGATGTCGCAGCGCAGGAGGACAAGGCTTGGGAACATGGAAGACGGGTGCGAGACACGCCATAGCCAGACTCCAGAGCGTGAACTGAAACACGCGGGAGACGGTCGTCGAGCCTACGGAGTGTCTTCCCTCTCCCTGGGTTCTCTCCGTCGGTACTACCTCGGCGAATGGATGAATGATGTTATGATGGATGGATGGATGAATGGATGAAAGACACGAACGACGTCGTGAGTCGGGGCTTGTCTCCTGCGGACCACCAGGGAGGCCAATGCTTTCTCTGTCTGCCTGCGCTTTTCTCCCCGCAAGTCAATGTGGTGTGGCTGGAAAGAAGCCCCTCGCCGTAGTTCTGGGCAACAATGACCATATTGATCATCCGGAGCTAAACTGCAGCAGCGCCGTGAGAAAGAAGCCCTTGCTGGTGCACAGCGGTTGCCTCTAACTCGCTTTTGGGACGTGATGCGCAGAAGCGGTGTCCATACCAGCTCCTCACTCCCGCTCAATCCCTTGCGAGATCCTCACTGCTCGCGCGTGGGCTGGAGGGCTCAGCGATGGGGCTACCACTACCCGGGGTCTACAACCTGAGCGACGCCATCTTCACGGTGGCCGGAAGTCGGAGTCGGCTGTACCAGCATGATGCCGGACTCAAATGAGCTCCCGTCTTCCTGCACAAGCACTGGAAGCTGTGCCGCAGTCGGTGGCACCTGGGTAGCCTGCTCATCTGAGGTGGATGTCATCTTCGAGCGGATTGCAATTGCACCCTTGCTAACGAAGGTACCCGCGCACGTGGTCGTGTATCGCGGGTCCTTCGGGAGTCTCAGAGGTCACCTCTCGTGTTACACACTCAGCTTCCATCTCCACGAGTTTCTCAGAGGAGCCGCGATCCGGTGAGTGGACATCACAGAAAGCTTCACAAAGAAACGAGAAAGAGTAGGACGGAGAGAGTGCGGGAGCTCATATCGGGAGGGCGCGGCTCGACCGCCGCAACGTCATGCATGGGTCGGGCGATGTGGGCGATTGATCGAGTGGAGCGCAGCGGGGCCAGCTCCAGGGTCCGAGAACCCCTCTTTAGCAGAAGGATAGTTTCAGGATGCGATCGGTTGCAAGAAAACGGGGTGGGGAGTCTAAACGAAACAGTCGTGGTTCCAGAATCAGAAGGCACGAAGCGGCAGGGCCAAATTGTGGTGGAGGAGAGCAGGAAGCGAAGCCTGCAGAAGCGGGGTTGAGTGGCAACGCCACGCCGTGTGGGGGCGGAGAAGCGAGAGCCCTGAGGAGCTTGGTGCAGGTGGGTGTGGGGGGTGGGCCAGGCCCAAGGATCCACCGGTGCCTACTTGATGGAGAAGAGATTGGGTTATTCAAGTTTACTGACCGGGGCGGAACACTGTCGTCTTTCTTATCACCATTGCCTTGATTGTCGCTTAGCGTTGCTGAAGAGACGATTTTGCTTGGAGGTTGTATAGGTGATTCTATTTATGTTTGGTGTTGTATGGATTGAGATTTGAAAATTGGGAAGAATTTGAAGTGTCGGTATGGCCTTGTGAAAACCTTTTTTTAAAATGTTAAGGGGTTGGTTCAATGTTGTCTGTGCAGCATGGACATGGTAATTCAACAGGGCATCTTTTTTTCATCTATTTTTGTTATGTCCATTTTTCTATCTTTGTTTATTGGAGAGCAGTTGGCAGATGTAGTCATGAGTGAATTTAGTCATGCAACAATAGGTCATTTGAGTTGAACAATAGTGTTAAATGTTTATTTTCTTGATTCTCATTTATTAGTATTTATGTTGGAGTAACTAGATTGAGTGGTGCTGGTATGTTAGTGAATTTCGTTTTCAAGTGGTTTCTTTTGTGCATGTATGTTCGATTTAGTATTGTACATAAATTTAATTTTTAATATCTTCAATTTGTTGTTTCGACAATTTTTTGTGTTTTTAAGAATTCGAATTATAAATTTGAGTATAATTCGATTCTTAAGAATATTAACTGCGTCTTTATATGGTCTTTTAAAATCTTCTGTCAAAGTGGACATTAGGAACGACGATAGTTTGACAATAATATACATTCAATTGGAGAATGTTAGTATTTTCATAAAGCGTAAAAAGTTTTTTATCTTTATCAGCTGTAGTGTAGTTACAGACAGCATATTTGAGTGGCCAAATCTAACATTATATCCAATAAAAGTTGATGAATATTAATGTTCAAAGTAGCCGTAGTGGATATTAATTATGTATTAAAGCTTAAGAAATTGGAAGCAAAAACCATCATCTTCCTTCGTAATTAAACATTGGTGTGTCACAACATAATGTGACATCTTTACCTCACAAAGATTAAAGATTGGTTATTCCATGTAAGACATGACAACTTTTTATTAAAAGATTAGATAATGCATCCGTGGCACATGCTTTGCTCTTGAAACATTTAAATGTTTATGTAAAAATGTACTTCTGTCTTTCATTTGTTATTTGCTTCTAAGCTTGGACTTAATAAGTAAGGTGCAAAATTAACTATATCTGTATAATTTTGTAAAAGATGATTTGTGCAACATTTTTGATCTGTGAAAAAAGGTTGGAGATTGTTTATCTAAAACAAATGTTTATGCCTAGAATCCTACTTTTGAAGGTTATAATATGATCGCCTTATAAAGATTTCCCATTCAGTGAGAAATTTTCTTTTACAAAGCTTTAATTTTTGTAGATAATATTAAGTAAGAAGAGGCCATAAAATAAAGTAAATTCTTTTAACTTAGAATTATAAATATATTAGATCATTTTTTATTTATGATTTTTATAAGTTTAATAAGTACATATTTAATAAATATTTGATATATTCTTCTACTTTTTTGTATAAGCACTTATTTGAGGTGAGCTAGTTGTAACTTTTAGGATAGGATACTATATATATATATATATATATATATATATGTTATCATTTTCTTTTGTACCTTCTAAGTATACAATTAACCAAATAAAACTTCTCATTTTCAACCAATAACATACTTCAAAAGTTGAGACCTATAGCCTTTTTTCCTTTGTATAAAGATTTATATATAGGATATATAAATAAATGAAATTTCAATTAAAATGTTTTAAGTTATTTGTTGTAATTAAATTATTTGTTTACACTTATATAAGAAGGAAAGTTACAACGAAGTAAAAAATAAGATTATGAAAATAATGCATTAAAGTAATATTTTTACTTTAATTACAACAAATTGTTTAGTACATTAAAATATTCTATTATAACATCATCATGTTATTATTAGCAACTTTAATTGCATCCAGAAATTTGGAAACACATTCATTCTTTTATTTCATATAATCTGTAAATGGTATATATTTACACAAAGTGGTAAACATGACATGCCAAAACAAGTGGCAACCGTGTAGCATTTATGGCAAGCTATTTGTGACTCATTATCAATCTTATAGCCACCATCCAAAATTGTAATGGTATAATATCACCTACTGAAGAATCTCAACCTAACGATAATGTATTGTATATGCCTTTTTCATGTGCACATCACCATTCAAACATAGCATTATGATGTCAAGGGTTGTGTGGCTAGAATTGCATTGAGGCTGTTGGGCTATGTGTTGTAATAATAATGTGCACCAAGTGCAAACCCTCTTGTTTTGGTATAAAACTCCATTATGACCCTAGTTTGCTCAGTTTTTTAAATTTTTTTACAAGTTATATTTTACCATTTTAAATTATTTTAAAATTTTCTTATCATCATATGTATACAGTGAGATTTTTAAGAGAGTTATGAGAAAAGAAAGTGATGCAAAACCAATATTATTTTATATTCTACCCCAGTTCAACAATGGGAATGAGATTGATAATCTTCATTTAACAGAGTAAGAATGAAAGTTTGGAAGATGTAGTATCATGGGATGTTCTAATGTTGAATTATAATACTTGAATGTGTGTATCACAAACAGATTCTATTTTCAGAACATATTCAATATTACTATGGTCTATTGATGTGAAATATAAGTTCTATAGATACAAATTTTAACTTCATCAGTACGACAGTGATAGTGTGGTTTCTAAAAACACAAAAGTCAAATCAAACAACCTTTGATGGGACAAGTCTGCTAAAATTTAAAGGGATCAAAACAACCAAAATGATACAAACAAATTCACTGTTGTTTGAGGCCAACAAGAAAATATATTTAGTAAATGCAGATACTTCACAGAGGTTGATACATGAATACAAACTATGTTAGTAAAAGAATCAAAGAATCACACTCCTTTGCACTGTAGAAGGCTTTTGGAAAGAATGACCACTAATTTTGTTTAATGGAATTTAATGGAGTACAATTCTTTCACAACATGAACTCATAACTTTACAGTCCATAAACAATCTGTGTACCTCAAACCGAAAAGTGGAATTGATTATAAAAATTTAAGTATTTAGAACGAAATTAATTTAGATTAAATGGATAATTATTTTCCTATCTTTAATGAACAATTCAAAAACTGTGCATGACCAATTTACACTAATTCAAGGGATATGTAAAACGTTTCAGCAGTAAATCATAAAAAATCACCAAACAATGATAATAATATTTAAAAAAAATCTGAAAACATTTTAATATCTTTAAGTTTCACAATTATTTTCTTTGTCCTACGTGTACAGCCCATTTGCGGAAATTATGGACTGATTCCTCTTCGTATGGCCACGTAGGCTTACTTTTATTGCTCGAAATTGCCATGTCAGAATCTGCATCCCAAGCAGCCATTCGGTGGATGCCACATGGAAGACGAAGAGGGGAGCGCGTTCTAAGGAAGGGAACTTTATCACTTCCATTCGACACTGTTTGTCCCTCAAGCTACGTTTTGCGTCTGCGCTACACTGGGCTCGGTCCGGACTGAGCTCGGCCGCGCGAGACGCAACTGGATCCCATCGGCTCCAATGCCGAACCCGGAAACCTTCTGAATGGTCCGCTCTTGCGTCACAACACTCTTTTCGTTGCAGAGTTTTTGATGAGCTCCCTTGCGTTTGTTCAAGTCCTGTTAAGTTACTTTTCCCTAAACCCTAACAGAACAGTTTTCCAGGTATGTATAGAAACGGTGGTGCATATCTCTTGGCGTTAGAGGTGGCGGATTTCAGTCGGTTTTTTGTTTTGCGAAGCGTGAACTGGGGTAGAGGGGATGGAGTTGTGGAAATAGTATGGATCCGTTGTGTCATTTTATTTATTTGTTTATTTATTTTCCTACTTCGTCTCGTGCTCTGTGCTTTGGTTGCAGTTCCTACGTGATGATGTCGTGAGAGGTGTTTGGTTTGCGTGCTCGTTTGCAATCCGTGGGGTTCTGTCTTCTGAATTGGCTTCATTGGACTCAGTCTTTGAGTTTACTGACGTTATCGGCATGTGAACATGTTTCGTTTTTTGAACTTCTCTTGTGCAATAGAAACTATCGAAATTCTTTCAGATTTAGAATATGGATGTTCAGATCTGAGCAAATGCTGAGTGAGACTAATTATTTGCCACGGCCTTAGATTAAACGATAATTGTTGATCAGAACATTGCTTTTTCTGAGTTCTGCTGGAGTGACTGTTGCATCCTCTTACATATACTAGGTTTATCGTAGAGTTATCTATTCGATGATAGGCGTTTTTTTTTCACACCAGCTTTTTCTTATGTATTGAGGTGAGCTTGTCATAGAAGTTCTGGGTATGATATTTTATTCATCTATCTCGGATGCTAACTGAGGCTAAAACATGATTTCCTTTTCTTTAGGTGGCTATTTAAATTCGAGATATCACTTCCTTTAGGCAGTTTGTCTAGGCTTTAATGATTTCGTTAGTATCCTGATCAACTACAAATGTCAAGACGATGAGCATCTTAACTAGAAATCCATTCATTATGGAACCACTTTAACGTAGAACTGAAGGGACTAGTCTTCCAAACCACACAAGAAGTAATCTGCCCTTGTTGATTGTTGCAATTGTTCGTAAAGTTTGTACGTGACGGAATTCAAGTAACATGGCTCAATTAGTATATGCTTCATGCTATTGTCTCTGAGTAGTTGACGGAATACCGTGTTTGTTAAACTGCAGGGTGATGTGCGCTAAGCGAAGCGCAGGACTTTCTTCAGCCTAATTGCATTCTATGGATTCAATGACCATAATTCTTCAAAGTGTAGAAGACGAATTAGGGATCCATATTCTTGATAATTATATTTATCCTCTTCCCATTTAATCTCTTTCAATGTCGTGTAAAGGTTTAGGCCCGTATAAGTTTCAGTTGGTGAGGTATTGACCTTGTTAGACATCCGCGTATCCAGCAGGATTTTTGTTACAGGATGGCAGGTCGGTCAAGTGGTCCCGGTAAGGTCACGCTCGCACCATTGGTATTATCAGCCATTTCTCCCGAAGAGCGGGCAGCGAGGCTGATGTTCGAAAAATCGGAAGCAGAGAAACGGTTAAGGGAAGCCGAAAATAGACTGAGAGAAGCCATTCAGGAGCTGCAGAGTAAACAGAGCGAAACTAGGGAGGGATTTGGAGATGCATTTAGTGGTCGCCATTCACTCTGTCCGCATGGGGACTCATGCGTGGCCAATGCCGTGGGAAGCTTGTGTCAAAGTTTTCTACTTGCGTATGGTGTTCGAGTCGGAATAGGAGTAATTCTTCGAGCCTTCAAGCTTATCAAGAAAAAGCCATATTACACTGTCCTTGACTTGAAGGTATTGCACATGCGCTGGTTCGGGTACTTCCTTACTGATCAATGATTGATTCTGAATGAAGTTTTCAGTGTAGAGAACAGTGCGTACTTAATAGGATGCTTAGATCGGGGAGTACGGCTGAGAGTTGTTATCAGAAAGGGTAAATTTATCGATCTTTGATAAATGTTTCGCTTGTGTCGCAGCTTCTGCTATCTGAAAAGGATCTTATAGTTAGGGAGGAGGCTTGCCGAACGGGTCTTTTGTTTGGAGGCTTCACAGGGGCTTTTCATGCAATCCGATGTATTCTGAGGAGAACGCGTAACAAGGAAACACCAATTAATGGGTGGGTTGCATACTTTAGTTTCATTCATTCTGGATAAAATAGTGCGATGTTATGTTGTGCATCCTATTGCTCATGCCAGCGGGTTTTCCATTGATTCTTAGTTCTTATTACCATGTTATCCTGTATTATCATGTTGTGTATCGAGTGTCTCTGTCATCATGTTTAGGAAATAGACGAGAGATAATTCATCGCTCAATCATCGAAATGTGGATGTCGTGGGAAATAAATAAATAAAAGGGATATGCTACCCAACCTTCAGAAATCCTGTCTTCATAGGATGTAGAAGACTTTATATTGGTTTGACTTGCACGATTGTTGATTCGGCGTATCAGGCATTCGAACTTATTTTGTATGACCTCTAAAATTTTGTTGCCTCATTGTGGAATCTAGTTATGTCTTTTCTTAAGTTCGATGTTATCTATTTTTTCTTAGTATTTGTGAACTTGAAGTGCAATATTTTATTTATGAAGCAATTGAGCAGATTATATTTTTCTTTGCGCAGGTTCGTGGCTGGTACTATATCCGGTCTATCTGTATTGGCTCTGGATGATTCCAGTAGAAGGCGAACCTTTGCATTGTATCTTTTGGCCAGGGTAGCGCAGGTATACTTTATTATTTCTTCGCTTATTTAGGGGTCAAATGGCCGTCTTTAGTTCCTAACATGCATCACTGGTGTTTTTGAAGGATCAGTGCGACAGATTATGTTCGTTGACGTCGGTGCGCTAGTAAGTGGGTGTTAGGTTTGTACGATGTGTTCCGCCTTCAGAGGATAGTCTCATCTGTATTTTCTGCAACGTGCTTTGTACAGTGCGCATATAACTCTGCGAAAGCGAAAAATAAGTTTCACTTTTGGGGCAGCAAGTGGAGTCATGGCGACACATTGCTATTCAGCTTAGCATCTGCTCAGGTGCGTTACTGATGAATATCAGAAAAGGGATGTTATTATAATGTTATCATCTTTTAAGTTGAATTTCGCGATCTTGTACTGGAATCATAGAATATTGTTGATAGTCTATTTCACTGTTTTTAATGTACTTGTGTTTTGAAATTGCAGATTATGTACGCCTATGTCATGCGTCCAGAGACCCTTCCAGAATCTTACTTCGAATTTATTGTGAAAACTGGACCTATTGCAAAACCTACATTGAAAGCCGTACGTGAGAACAATCGAGGTTTACCAATCGATTTAAAAGCTTTATCAGCATTTGTTCTTGAGCGATCAGGAGTTCCCGGGCCTGTGGGTCTGAAACCAGATTCACCAATTATTCCTTGCACTGGTATACACCCTCAGACTACTTCATGTCTGGCTCACAACGGCAAAGCGACTCGAGCAACATTCAGAAAAACCTTCCCACTGTATTTGTCACTCACATTCGTGCCCTTTGTAGTGTTAAACATCCAGAAGGTACGTTTCCTTTCAAGTTGGCGTTTAGCTTACACTTGAGCTTTTGTAGCGAACCGCATGATCAGTTTAACTGCATCTTTTCTCATCTTTCTCCATGTGTTCGATTGTTTGCAGTTCATGCATGCTCCCCTTCACACTTTCTGGAATGCCTTGAAGAGTGCAACTCGCTCCACATGTTTTCTCTCAGCATTTGTTGGCCTTTACCAGGTAATTCGTTTGCACAAGAGCCCGGTTCTAAACTCAGTTGTTCGATTATATCAGTTGTTCAATGTATTCCAGAGATTGATAAACCTGTGTTTGTCTATGTGCACTGGATATTTGTGTTTGCGGCGTTTACTCCTGAAAACATGATTTTTGCTAGAAATTGTTTTTCAGTTAAGTTTTGGAAGCGTTGGACTTTTCTATTTATATTCTATTCCTTAGTTCACGTGGTGCACTTCCACTGGTGCTCACTAAAGCTTCCAAGGTAGTTGATGGTACTAACGACTCTTGATGTTGGGGTTTTTCTGCAGGGAGTAATTTGTCTTCAGCGGAAAGTGGTCACAAAGGATCACAAGCTGATTTACTTCCTTGCAGGCGGAGTGGCTGCTTTGTCTGCATTGATAGAAAAGAAAAGTCGCCGCTCAGAGCTTGCCCTTTACACTCTTCCACGAGCTGGTGACTCTTTATGGTACATCTTGGTGAATCGTCATATTTTGCCGAACATCAAGCATGCGGACGTAAGTACTGTTTCCATCTCTTGGTGGCCATATTTAGCATGTCACAAGTTACTTCAGTAGGCTTGATGCGTCAGGTTTGAGTGCGTCTTGCTTAAACATACGTTTGCTACGGGACAGATGACAAGAAAATGGAATGACTCTTACAAGGTTCTTACTATTTCTTGGTTGAACCTTGATTGTACAGGTGGTGCTATTCTGCCTGTGCATGGGCTGTATCATGTACTTTCACGAGTATGAACCTGACACGATGGCACCCTTTCTGAGAGGTTTACTTACACGGTTTCTTAACCGTACAGGCACGCCGTCGATCCACTCATCGACGTCCTATTCTTACTTGCCCGCACTTGCGCCTTCTGATGACCTATTGCCACCTCCAAATGCTTCGACGTCACAGAACAATCACAATACGAAAGGCTCTTCACCCTCGTCACGTACCCCCGGCTCGCCTCCTGTAGACCGGGTTTCACAGACATCGAAAGACCCCCAAAAGATTCCAGAAAGACTCACTATCGAAGCCTTTCAAGGTCTTTGAGCAGCTAGTGAAGTTGGGATTGAGGAACTGAGACCCCCTGGTTATATGAACTGATCCAACTGGACCATGTGGACGGTGCTTATAGGATTCGGTGAATCTTCACGATGCTCAAAGTAACAACGTGTGACGTTAGGAATTCTTCATTGTAGATCATGATGTTCAGGAATGCATTTTTTAAGTTGGTCCTGCTTCCGTCTATAGAAAGAAATACAGGGGGTAGCAGCAGTGGGCACGTAGGCTACAGCGACTGAGGGATTGGGCTTAGCCCTGCAGGGACCCTAAGGACTCCCACGGTCGGTGACAAAAGCTCACCTTTTAAGCTAATGCTCTTTGGTCAGGGGCAGCTTTATGTATAGAAATTGAGTGGGCATTTTTGGGCAAATTTGCTCAAAAAATGTCAGACTCGGGTAAAGGTTAGTTAAAGGATCTGACATTTGACGATTTCTATGGATTTTTTCTACAAATAGATTGGACCATTGCAACCTCCGCTGTTCAAAATTGAGAATTTTCTGTTTGCATAGCAGATAATTTAGCGTTTGCGTAACAGCTCGTTAAAGCTTACACTGAATTGCCATTCTTAGAAATGGAGTGTGACTGAGGAGTGGCAGGATGTTCATTTACCAATGGGTGGTTCTGGTGGGTGATTCGGGAGTCAAATGAAAATTGTACATTGTTTCAGGCAAGCAATCAACAAAATTTGTGTAATTTATTGCTACCTGTGGGGTGTTCTTGTTTATTAGAAGTTACCGTCTGTAACCTTATCAACTACCTCGGGAATCATACCGACGATGCCCTAGTTCACAAATTTTGACATCACATTACAGCATAAGTAATTACTCATTAAATTATGGGCGTGATTAACTACCCAGCATTCACAAGCTGAAGGATTCGAAATTCGAATTCAGAAGTATGTGACATGGACATGTTGCAGCTTATATCCTGTGCCAACTTCTTCTCATGAATGGAATGACATCACTTTCAAGTAGTAGTATTCAACTGTTAAACCAATCAATTTTTCAATTTTCCTTTAGAAGCATGAATCCTGCTCTTTTCTAAAAATGGGCAAGACAATACATTCTATTAATAGGAGTGTCTTTGTTCCAACAGTGGTCTCAGACTTTCTTCTTCTCATCCTTGTCCCAATGCGGGTCTTGGACCTCCTCTCTTTCTTCTTTGTCAATTGTAGCTCAAATTAATAAACTAGCTAATCAAATACTTCCATTTTCTTTGATGTGTATATAACAATTTAGTGTTCATATAATTTGAGCCAATATAAAAATATATTAATTACATGAAAGTTTTTGTTCTTTGCCAATTGTTATTATATGATAATGTACAGATGATATTTATATATAGTTTAAGTTTAAATATTAGTCTAAATAATCTATTATTCTATAGGAAAATCTGTGTAGCGCTTTTTGGTTGAATTAAACTATATACATGTATATATATATATATATATATATATATATATATATATGTCTAGATTAATTCTATTTTTTTAAAAATAATAAAATATTTTGAAAATTAAAATCTACTTTATTTAGCTAATTATTATATTTTATAATATGTAGAAAAATATTTCAACTCAAAATCAAGGATTACAAAAAATAAATGCCAACTTTATACTATACGTCTAAACATAATAGATGCACATTATTATTGTTTTATTTAAATTATTTTTATATATTTTTTTAAAAATAATATAATACTATATTTTCATAATAAATTATTTTTTCATAGATTGTAATTCTCCAAAATAAAATTGATTGATTTTTATGAAACAAATGTGTTTTTTATTAAGAATTTATTTTAATTTTATGGTCATTTAAAATTTTAAAATTTTAAAATTTTATGGTCATTTAATAATTTAGAATAATATATATATATATATATATATATATATATATATGAATTATGAATTTATGTTTCTTAATTTACACACACACACACACACACACTCATATATATATATATATATATATATATATATAAAATTTATTATAATCGTAATTATAATTTTTATTTTTAATCTATATAAATAATTACTTTTATAATAAGCTTATTAGTACATGGTTTAAAAATAATAATGACTTAAAAAATATTAAATCTAATATTGAGGACTTATTTTAAATTAAGTGTAAATACTTGCAAACTAATAAAGTAGTTATATTTGTATAAGAGTGATAAATGTATGAATATACAATAAATAACATACTAAGAGAATATTCATGTTTTTATAATGATTTATTATGTGAGATTTATAATATATAATATTATAAATAATAAACAGTGTAACATAAGATTTTAAAGATTATTGAATCTTGTGTTACACTGTTAAGATAATGAAATGTGATTATTTATCAAAAACACCTATACTACTTAAATAAATATGAATTAATAGAAATAAATATAAGTATGTTAAAATTGATTTTGTAGATAATATCTTCTTCAAAAAAAATTGAAGAATCTTCATAGAGATATATCATGTGTACATGTATACTATAAAGTTCTAATAATATTTGTAAAAAGTTTCTTACTCTCAATAAGCTGTTATAAAAGCATTTTTTTACCTCGACCACTTGACTCATAAACTCTATGGCTTTTAAAAAGCTATTGCACTATCTTTTTATTATATATATATATATATATATGGATATAAGATATAAAGCTATTCTTAGATTTTTTAATGTTTTTTTGGTATTTTAGTCTGATTTATGACTTAGTTGTCTTTTGTCTTTAGCAACAACTAATTTGTAACCTTCTATTTTTATAAACATACTATTTTTCATTTTTATTTTTTTAGATTAATATGAATAAATTTATATTATATATTTTTTTATTAATCTTATCTACATTGGTATTATAATATTAATATTTTAAATATTAAAGCTTAATTAATTTTATGAAAAATTAAACATTCTATTTTCTTATAAATACTACATTTCTTGGACATATTGACTTTGGTAAGATAAAAGAAGTTAGGTAGAAGTAAGTAAAAATAGATAAATTTGGTGATATCTTGTAGAACAGTTTTTTAGGATCTTAGTCATATCTTGAGTGCTACTGGAATGTTCTGCTTCTTTCGATATTTTTTATAATTCATGTTATTGACCACAATACCAAAATTTTTATAAATTATAATTTTTAAAATTTATATATTTTTAAAATTATTATTCTTATTATTTACATTCTAGTTTTATCTCTTATACAATTATTTAATATTTTAGCATTTTTTTGAAAATAACAATTTAAAATATTTTATTATAAAAAAATAAAAAATAAAAACTAATGCATGTAATTCAACAATTATTTTTATCAAAAAAACCAATATTGGATCTACTTTTATATAAGGATTAAAAAATAGAACACACTTTTTTTAAAATTATTTTATATAAATTTAATTTTTCTATTAAAAATAACAAAAAAACTATAATTAAATTTTAAATATTTAAATATTATTACTTTGAAGATTTATTTATTTATTTTTTTTTTTGTAAACTTATCAACTTAAAAAAGTTTTTTTTATTAAGTTTTAAGCACCAAATCATTTGATTTTAGTATCTTAATTCAAATTTAGTGTATTATTTGTCAATACACCTATTCTATCTTAGTTCTTGTGATTTTTGGACCAATAAAATTTATAAATAAATAAAATACATCTTAAATAAAATACTAAAAATATTTTAAAATTAAATATTTAATTTATAAAACATCAAATAATGTTTTTGATCTTATAATCTAAATATTAATTTAAATTTTTTCAGGAATAATATTTTTAAGAAACTGAAAATTTAAATTAAATAGATAGATACTATTATTATTAATCAATTAATTTATATACCAAAGCTTATATAACTTATTTTGATTTTAAATTTAATTAATGTTCAAAGAATTAGGCAAAAATTCAATGTTATTATTAAACTTGGTAAGTGATTATTTAAATTTTATTGAAAATTTTTAATAATTTTTAAAAATATTTTAATAATCTTATAATAATATCTTATTTAAAAAAAATTAATTTTATAATTAGAAGACAAGTCAATTGATGTTGTATTATTTAAGCTTATAATAATAATAATAAAAAAAAATATCTTTTTACAGAAAAATATGGATTTTAATTGCAAAGCATTGTCAAGTACAAGAACATAAAGAATATCAATATATAAGTAAGATATTTTTTTTAAAGAAAAGTAAAAGAAAAGAAATAAGTTCATATATATATATATATATATATATATATTTATATATGAGAAGAAATTAAAATAGCTATTGCCTAAAGACATGAAAATTAAAGACTCTTGAAACTAGAGTAGAAGCAAGGAAGAAATTGAAAAGAATGAAGATGGATTTATTCTTAGTTTAGTATATACTATTTAAATATAAGCTATGTAACAATGTTCTATAAGACCTTCAATACGTATCAAACTTGTAAGAGAAGCTTTTTATACATACACCACATGTCCAACCTATACTATTAGTGGCCAATATATGTAATACATGGCAATATCTTGGTATAGTTTTTAACTTCTAATTACCTATAAGAATATATAAGAGCAAACCCACATCCATAAAGCTTCTAAGAAGCTTGTCTATAAGATATTTTTAAATTTATCTACTTTCATTTACTTTTACTTATTTATATTATGTAAGTAATCATTTGAATAAATATGGATGTCTATGACATTATTCCCCTTTTATAGAAATAAGTTCCACATGGAGCAATAATCACATGTTGAAGAAATTCAAGATATGAAAAATTATATTTGTTACATATTCTAATTTTTATTCTCTACAAAAGTAGTTGATGGATCATCTCAGCCATTAATAATATTCTATAATAAAGTAAAAAGATTATCTTGAAATTTAATCATTGTTGAAGTCTTCATAACTTCCTTCAAATAAATTATTTGAAATATTATTAAGAGTGGTCTCTACTTTCAATAATATCACCAATCATTGTAGTTTTCTTTTAAGGTTATGAGACAAAATGTATTGTATCTTGCTATCTATGTTAGAAAGAACATTTTGTACTTCATGATGTTTATCTCTATTACATTATCTTAAAAGTTGTGACAATTGCATATCTCATTGGACAATTCAATAAATGATGAAATCTATTAGTCTTTGATTTTCTATTTCCTTAGCATCACAAATACAAAGGAACCACAATAAGTTATAGAGTATAAAATGTAATTTCTATTGAATCTTACTTCTTTTATAGAAAGAAATTGCTTGACTCTTTATCTTAATTTTAATGAATGTTATTGATAAAAATATTTGACATTCTCAATGACATTTTTAAGATTCTTGGTTAATCTTCATATATATTTATTAATATTATATTGGCACTACTAAAGAAGATATTTTAACTTAAGTTGGCATTGCCTTAAGTCTAAAACTTCTTCAATCTAAACTCTTCAATATTATCTATTTCTATAAGAAGAAGTACCATTTCTCTTCTTTTTGGGATATTCACTATCTTATATGATTTAAAGAGAAACATA